CCTCTCGCTGCAGCTCCTGGAGGTGGCCCCAGGGCTCTGCTCTGGGTCACCAACACAGCTTCCACCCCCCAGACCTGCCCTGGGGGCACTGTGAGGCCCCCCCCCAGTGCTGTTTCCAGCCGCTCTTCCCAGGTTCTTTCCAGGTCAGGGCTATTTCTGCCCTGTCACTTGGTAATTTCCTCTCCCCAGCGTAAAATAAAGAGACTGATGGACTCTGGCAGCTGCGTTTCAGGTCTGTTTAGTGCTCTGTGAGCTGCTGCCTCACCTCCCAAGCCGCAGATGCTGCTCATAGCGATGGCTGAGAAAGAACCCCCAGCTCAGGGGGGGATCCTCGTGGTCCCCTTGGGGCTGGCGCTGGCTTCCTGCAGGGAACAGGCTCTGGTTGGGGATGCTGGTGAAGCTGTGCCATGGAGGTGGGGGGGGGGGGGGGGGGCAGGCACCAGTGCCCCCCGGCCCGGCTCCGTCCTCCTTTTGCTTGGCTCTTGCGAGTGGAATCTGGGTTATTCTCCGGAGGGGGGATGCTCGTGGAGCCGGGAGGGAATGGGGCTTGCTGGGGGGATCCAGCTGATTCCCAGCGCGGCTCCTGGCCTCTTTCCTGGCCTCCTTTAGGCTCAGGCTGAGCCACTTTCCTGTGGGGCAGCCTTTGGAGGAGCTGGGATCTGCTGCTGGATCCCCCTGACCCCCCCCAGCTCCGGGGCTTCCCAAGAGGAAGGGCAGTGGAATCATCCCAGCTTGGCTTTGGTGGAGGGGGGGCTCCCCTGGACCCCCCTTGCCAACCCCTGCCCCTCAGTCAGTGCCACAGCAAATCCCCATTGAGGAACGAGCATCTACATCCCCTCTGCTCCTCTTAGACCTGCCTTGTCCCAGTGGAGCCCTGGGCACAGGGAAGGGCAGATCCTCTCCTTTCCTGCCCCCCCAGTGATGGGCTGGGAGCTCAGGATGAGGCAGTGGGGAATTAGAGCTCGGGATGCACTGGGTGAGCATCACATCGGTGCTGGGGCCATGCAGAGCCGTGACACCCCCCCCCCCCCCCCAACACCCCCATTGCATTGGGTGCCCCCATCCCGTTTTCCCCACACTCCTTAATGTCCTTCTCCTTTTCCTTCTCTTTCAGAACATCTTTCAGATGGTCAGGTCACAGCAGAGGGACGCGGCCACTTAGCCCCCGTCCCGTCCCCCCCCCGGCCAGGATGAACGCAGCCCCCCCCCCCCCCCTTAACACTTAAAATTCTGTTATTGTATTAAAGCCCTTAAACTAAATATTATTAATAATAATTCCATTTGTGAACTTCATGTTTATGGCATTAAGCAACTGGGATAACCGGCAGGACGGACCGAGGAAGGAGGGACGGCGTGGATGGCAGCGGAGCCGCCGCAGGGTTGTGGACAATGCATTGGGCTGCAGCTGGAAGCATGGACACGAGTGGGAAACCCCCCCCCTCCCCTTCCCTCCCCAGGGATCAGGACAAACCCTGCATGGACCCAGGTCTTTGCCGTGCTCCCTGCGATGGCTGCACCTCTCGAAGGTGTCCTCACACGCAGCCCGGTGTGGGGCCTGAGCATTGACTCCAAAGGAGAATTAAAGGAGGAAAAAGAGAAGGAAAAGAAGCAAACAGGAGGAATGTTGCAGGGAAGCCCCTCTCTGGGACCCAAGGACCTCTCCACCGCCTCAAGCTCTTCATTTGCTGATTTTCCCTGTGTTTTGGTTGGGCTCTGGGTGTTCTCACACGGACTGAGGGAGCACGGCGGCGTTCCTGGGATGGGCTCCTGAGGCCGGGGCCGGGTGATGGGCTCAGGCTCCTCCATGTGCCGGTGGCTGAGGAAGGGGAATGAGGTTGGACAGTGGCTTCCCTGCTTCTTGTGCAGGATTGGGGCTGGGTCCTGAGGAGCATCCCGGGGTTGGGGGCAGGAGCTGGTCCTGCAAGAATGAAATATGGCCATGGGGCAGCGGGGCCGGTGAGCACCAGCATCAGCACCATCACTGCCATCATCCCGCTGGGCAGTGGGGCCAGTGAGCACCAGCATCAGCACCATCACTGCCATCATCCTGCTGGGCACCAGGGCTGGTGAGCACCAGCATCAGCACCATCACTGCCATCATTCTGCTGGGCACCAGGGCTGGTGAGCACCACCATCAGCACCGTCATTGCCATCATCCTGCTGGGCACGAGGCCTGGTGAGCACTGGCATCGGCACCATCATTGCCATCATCCCGCTGGGTACCAGGGCTGGTGAGCACCAGCATCAGCACTGTCATTGCCATCATCCCACTGGGCACCAGGGCCAGTGAGCATCAGCACCGTCACTGCCATCATCCCGCTGGGCACCAGGGCCAGTGAGCACCAGCATCAGCACCGTCACTGCCATCATCCCGCTGGGCACCAGGGCCAGTGAGCACCAGCATCAGCACCATCACTGCCATCATTCTGCTGGGCACCAGGGCTGGTGAGCACCAACATCAGCACCGTCATTGCCATCATCCTGCTGGGCACGAGGCCTGGTGAGCACTGGCATCGGCACCATCATTGCCATCATCCCGCTGGGTACCAGGGCTGGTGAGCACCAACACCAGCACCATCACTGCCGTCATCATTCACTGGGCACCAGGGCCGGTGAGCACCAGCATCAGCACCGTCACTGCCATCATCCCGCTGGGCACCAGGGCTGCTGAGCACCAGCATCAGCACCATTGTTACCATCATCCCGCTGGGTACCAGCAGAGGCTGAGGTTCATCTGCCCCTCACTGGGATGCGAGAAGCTGGATGCAGCCACCAGAGGGGCCTTCGGCTGCGTGACCCCGGCCCCGCTCCCTGCCTTGATCCCATCCCATCCCCGTGCTGCCGCTATTCCCAACCTCCCTGTGGGTCCTGGTCACTGTGGGGCTGGGGGGGGATCCTCCCCATTCCTCAGCTCTTGGACACCTGCAGCAAGGAGCAGGGATTCCTCAACCAGCTCCAGTGTAACCGGATTTGCCTTGGGAGCCCTTTGGGACCCCAAAGCCCCCACACCGGGCCCCATCAGTGCCACGACAGCGTCGGGTCTCAGCAATAACCCCACTCATGACTGTGTCCGAGTCGGAGCCGGTTCCGTGTGTGTCCCCCCCCCTCCCCAGGCCTGATCCCGCTGCCATCCACATCCTCTTTAATTTATTTGCAGCCGCCTTGTGTCTTTTCTATTCGTGAGTCAGAAAGTGAAGGAAATGACCCCAAAACGTGCGAAACCAAGAAGAAAACAGCAAAATAACCCCCCCTTTGCCCCCTCCCCTTTGCCCCCTCCCCCCCGCGGGGCTTTGCTGAACTCACTCAGTGTAATTAATTGTAACATATTCTTTTAAATAAATTGATTTATTGATGAAGCCACCGGGCCCTGCGGCCGGGGGGGGGGTGGGGGTGTGGGGGGTGATGGGGGGGGCGGGGGGTGGGTCAGAGGCGCCTTTGAGCGTTATTTTGGTTTTTTTTTTGAACTTCTTTTATTTCGACAGAAAAAAAAAACAGAAAAAGAAAAAAAGGAAAAAATAAAAGAGAAAAAAATTGAAATGATCCAAAGGAACCGCAATAAATAGCAAATAAATTAAAGCGGCGGCGGCTCGGCCGCAGACGTCACCTCCCGGGGGTCCCGTCCCCACCCCACCCCCCCCCTCTAACAGCCCCCCCCCTCCCCCGACCCACCCCCATCCCAACTCAGCAGGTACCAAACCCCCCAAAAGGGGGGGGAAGAGACAGAGGCCCCCGCGCCCCCCAACCCCTTATTTACAGCGGGGAGCAGCGGGTGTAAACGTGGGGCTGGGGGGGGGGGGGCACCGGCCCTGGCTGGGAGCTGCTGGGGGCTGGACGGTGCCGGATGCGGCCCCGTTTTGGCTGGTGGGTGCCTGGCGCACCCCGGGTTTGGCCGCTGTGGGTCCGGGCAGAGCCAGAGGCCTCGAGTTCCCCCCCCCAAACCCCGCTGTGTCCATGCAGTGGCCTCCGGCTGCTCCGGGCTCCCGGTGTTTGGCTGGTCCATGCCCGGCTCTGGCCGCTTCATGTTCATAGAGCACCAGCACTGCGACAGCTCAGCCTCATCCCATTGCCGGAGCCTCTTGGTGCTGGAGCCTCCCAGTGTCGGAGCATCCCAGTGCTGGCACGTCCCAGTACCAGAGCATCCCAGTGGCCAGAGCATCCTGGTACCAGAACATCCCAGTGCCAGAGCATCCCTGTACCAGAGCATCCCAGTGCCAGCGCATCCCGGTACCAGAGCATCCCAGTATCGGAGCATTTTGGTACCGGAGCATTTTGGTACCAGAGCATCCCAGGTTCGATGCATCACAGCACCAGAGTATCCCACTGCCAGCGCATTCCCGTACCAGAGCATCCCAGTTTCGACACATCATGGTACAAGAGCATCCCAGTGCCAGCGCATCCCCGTACCGGAGCATCCCAGCGCAGAGCATCCCAGTGCCAGAGCATCCCAGTGCTGGAGCATCCCAGTGCCAGAGCATCCCAGTGCTGGAGCATCCCAGTACCAGAGCACCCCAGTACTGGAGCATCCCAGTGCTGGAGCATCCCAGTACCAGAGCACCCCAGTGCCGGAGCATCCCAGGTTTGGCTGCTCTGTGTCTGTGCAGCACCCAGCACCCCGCAGCTGTGGCCGTGCCCATGGGTGAGTTTGGGGGGGGGGGGGGAACTGAGGCAGGTTTGGGGGTGTTGAGGGGTGAAGCGGGGTGGCAGTGAGTGTGTGTGAGCGTGTGTGTGTGTGTGTGTGTGCTGGGGGGATCCCATTGCACCCCAGCATGGCCCCCCCAGGCCCTGGAAGGGTGCTGGGGCTGAGACCCCCCAACCACAGCATGTGCCCCCCCCCCCCCCCCAGGATCCCCCCTCTCCAGCCTGGAGCTGGTTTTGGTCCTGTTTGGTGAGAGAAAAGCTCCAAGCAGGGTCCCCCGGGGGGGTGGGGGTCCTGGGGTTGGGGGGGGAGGGTGGGTGCCCCCCCAGGGCAGGTTGGACCTGGGCACTGGGGGGTGCTGGCATCGGGGGTCCGGATCGGTCCTGGAAGGGGGGATCCATCCTTCCTGAGCGTGTGGGGGTCTGTGTCCCCCCCCCCCAGCAGGACTGAGCCCCCTGCGGGCACCACTTGGGGGGGGGGGGGGGAGATGGGGACTGCTCTGCAATAGGGAGGCACCCAAAGGTGCTGCTCCAGAGCCTCCAGACCTGGTTGGGGGGGGGGGAGAGAAATGGGGGTATTAAGCAGAGTTGGGGTGGGCAGGGGGTGCCCGCGGTGGGGGGGCCGGGGTCTCACCAGGCTCAGTACGGCCGGTTGGCATCTTTGGGCCTCTTGAGCTGCACCTTGAGGCGCTTCATCCCGATCTGGAAGCCGTTCATGGCCTGGATGGCGGCCTGGGCGCTCGCCGGGTTGTCAAAGCTCACGAAGCCTGCGGGGATGGGGACAGCGACGGGGACATCAGGGCTGGGGCGCTGAGGGGTGTCCCCAGCCCAGCATCCCTTATCCCTGGTGTTCCCATCCTCAAGTGTTCCAATCCCCGTGTCCCCATCCCAGTGTCTCCATCATGGTCTCCCCATCCCAATATCCCCATCCCTGGTGTTCCCATCCCCAAGGGTCTCAATCATTGTGTCCCCATCCCCATGTCAACATCCCAATGCTCCTATCCCTAGTGCTCCCATCATCATACTCCCATCCCCATGTCCCCATCCCAAAGGCCCTATCCCTGGTGTCCCCATCCCCAGTGTCCCCATCCCAGTGTCTCCATTCCAGAATCCCTGTCCCAGTGTCCCCATCATGGTCTCCCCATCCCAATATCCCCATCCCTGGTGTTCCCATCCCTAAGTGTCTCAATCCTTGTGTCCCCATCCCCCAGTGCTCCTATCCCATGTGTTCCCATCATCATGCCCCCATCCTCCTCCCAATGCTCCTATCCCATGTGTTCCCATTGTCATACCCCCATCCCCATGTCTCTGTCCCCATGTTCCCATCCTTGTGTCCCATCCCAATGGCACTATCCCTGGTGTCCCCATCCCAGTATCTCCATCTCAGAATCCCTGCCCCAGTGTCGCCATCCTGGTCTCCCCATCCCAATATCCCCATCCCTATGTCCCCATCCCCAGTGTCCTCCTCCCAGTGCTCCTATCCCATGTGTTCCCATTGTCATACCCCCATCCTCATGTCTCCGTCCCCGTTTCTCTCGTGTCCCATCCCAAAGGCCCTGTCCTTGGTGTCCCCATCCCCGGTGTCCCCATCCCCAGTGTCCCAATCCCAGTGTCTCCATCCCAGAATCCCTGTCCCAGTGTCCCCATCCTGGTGTCCCCATCCCAATACTGCCACCCCTGGTGTTCCCACCACAAGTATCTCAATCCTTGTGTCCCCATCCCCATGTCCCCATCCCAGTGCTCCTATCTCTAGTGGTCCCATCATCATACCCCCATCCCCATGTTGCCGTCCCTGTGTTGCCATCCTCATGTCCCATCCCAATTGCCCTATCTCTGGTGTCCCCATCCCAGTGTGTCCATCCCAGAATCCCTGTCCCAGTGTCACCATCCTGGTCTCCCCATGCCTGTATCCCCATCCCTGGTGTTCTCATCCCCAAGTGTCTCAGTCCTTGTGTCCCCATCCCCGTGTCCTCATCCCCAGTGTCCTCACCCAATGCTCCTATCCCATGCATTCCCATCATCATATCCCTATGTCCTCAACGCCATGTCCCCATCCTGGTGTCCCCATTGCAGTGTCCCCATCCCGGTGTCCCCATCCCCAGTGTCCTCACCCAATGCTCCTATCCCATGTGTTCCCATCATCATATCCCCATCCCAGTGTCCCCAACGCCATGTCCCCATCCTGGTGTCCGCATTGCAGGGTCCCCATCCCCAATATCCCCATCCCCAGTGTCCTCACCCCACTGCTCCTTTTCCCATGTGTTCCCATCATCATATCCCTATGTCCTCAACGCCATGTCCCCATCCCGGTGTCCCCATTGCAGTGTCCCCATCCGCAGTGTCCTCACCCCAATGCTCCTATCCCATGTGTTCCCATCATCATATCCCTATGTCCTCAACGCCATGTCCCCATCCTGGTGTCCCCATCCCCATGTCTCCATCCCTATGTCCCCATCCCCAGTGTCCTCACCCAATGCTCCTATCCCATGTGTTCCTACCATCATATCCCTATGTCCTCAACGCCATGTCCCCATCCTGGTGTCCCCATCCGCAGTGTCCTCACCCCAATGCTCCTATCCCATCTGTTCCCATCATCATATCCCCATCCCCATGTCCCCATCCCTGTGTTCCCATCCTTGTGTCCCATCCCAAAGGTCCTGTCCCTGGTGTCCCCATCCCCAGTGTCCTCACCCAATGCTCCTATCCCATGCATTCCCATCATCATATCCCTATGTCCTCAACGCCATGTCCCCATCCTGGTGTCCCCATTGCAGTGTCCCCATCCTGGTGTTCCCATCCCCAGTGTCCTCACCCAATGCTCCTATCACATGTGTTCCCATCATCATATCCCTATGTCCTCAACGCCATGTCCCCATCCTGTTGTCCCCATTGCAGTGTCCCCATCCTGGTGTCCCCATCCCCAGTGTCCTCACCCAATGCTCCTATCCCATGTGTTCCCATCATCATATCCCCATCCCTGTGTCCCCAACGCCATGTCCCCATCCTGTTGTCCCCATTGCAGTGTCCCCATCCCGGTGTCCCCATCCCCAGTGTCCTCACCCAATGCTCCTATCCCATGTGTTCCCATCATCATATCCCCATCCCTGTGTCCCCAGCGCCATGTCCCCATCCTGTTGTCCCCATTGCAGTGTCCCCATCCTGGTGTCCCCATCCCCAGTGTCCTCACCCCACTGCTCCTTTTCCCATGTGTTCCCATCATCATATCCCTGTGTCCTCAACGCCATGTCCCCATCCTGGTGTCCCCATTGCATTGTCCCCATCCGCAGTGTCCCCATCCGCAGTGTCCTCACCCCAATGCTCCTATCCCATGCATTCCCATCATCATATCCCTATGTCCTCAACGCCATGTCCCCATCCTGGTGTCCCCGTTGCAGTGTCCCCATCCCGGTGTCCCCATCCCCAGTGTCCTCACCCCACTGCTCCTATCCCATGCGTTCCCATCATCATATCCTTATGTCCCCAATACCATGTCCACATCCTGGTGTCCCCATTGCAGTGTCCCCATTCCAGTGTCCCCATCCCCAGTGTCCTCACCCCACTGCTCCATTCCCATGTGTTCCCATCATCATATCCCTGTGTCCTCAACGCCATGTCCCCATCCTGGTGTCCCCATTGCAGTGTCCCCATCCCCAATGTCCCCATCCCCAGTGTCCTCACCCCAGTGCTCCTATCCCATGCGTTCCCATCATCATATCCTCATGTCCCCAATACCATGTCCACATCCTGGTGTCCCCATTGCAGAGTCCCCATCCCGGTGTCCCCATCCCCAGTGTCCTCACCCCACTGCTCCGTTCCCATGCGTTTCCACCACCATATCCCCATGTCCCCATCCCGGTGTCCCCATCCCGCTGTCCCCATGTCCCGGTGCCCCGGTGCCGGTGTCCCCACCGAAGCACTTGCTCTGGTTGGTGGCGCGGTCCACGAAGACCTTGGCGGAGATGACGTTGCCGAAGGGCAGGAACATCTGCAGGATCTCGGTGTCGGCGAACTCCTGGGGCAGGTGGTAGATGAAGATGTTACAGCCCTCGGGGCCTGCGGAGGGAGCGGCGTCACGGCGGCTGCGGACCCCCCCTGGGGCACCCCAACAGCGCCCCCCCCCCCCAGCACCCGAGGGGGGGGTCCCTGGGAAGGGGGTTTTTGGGGGGGGGGGGGGTCCAGGCTGCTCTCACCTTCTCGCTGCTGCTGCTGCGGGGGGGGCGGGGGAGCGAGCAGGGGTCCCGGGGGGGCGAAGGCCGGGCTCACCAGCCCATAGGCTGCTGGGTAGGCGGCTGGGGGGGGGGGCAGGACTGGTTAGCGCTGACGGTGCCCCACAGTGCCCCCCAGTACCCACAGTGCGCTCCCAGTGCCCTCCCAGTGCCCCCAGTACCCACAGTGCCCCCCAGTACCCACAGTGACCCCCAGTGACCCCCAGTACGCACAGTGCACCCCAGTACCCACAGTGCGCTCCCAGTGCCCCCACTGCTCTCCCAGTGCCCCCCAGTACCCACAGTGCCCCCCAGTACCCACAGTGCCCCCACTGCCTCCCATTACCCACAGTGCCCCCCAGTACCCACAGTGCGCTCCCAGTGCCCTCCAGTGCCCCCCAGTACCCACAGTGCCCCCCACTACCCACAGTGCCCCCCAGTACCCACAGTGCCCCACAGTGCCCCACAGTACCCACAGTGCGCTCCCAGTGCCCTCCAGTGCCCCCCAGTACCCACAGTGCGCTCCCAGTGCCCCCCACTGCTCTCCCAGTGCCCCCCAGTACCCACAGTGCCCCCCAGTGCCCCCCAGTACCCACAGTGCGCTCCCAGTGCCCTCCAGTGCCCCCCAGTACCCACAGAGCCTTCCCAGTGCCCCCCATTACCCACAGTGCCCCCACTGCCCACAGTGCCCCCCACTGCCCCCCATTACCCACAGTGCCCTCCCAGTGACCCCAGTACCCACAGTGCCCCACAGTATCCACAGTGTCCCCCAGTGACCTCCCAGTGCCACTCAGTGCCCTTCCACTGCCCCCCAGTGCCCTCCAGTGCCTCCCGTGCCCTCCAGTACCCCCATTGCCATTCAGTGCCATTCAGTGCCCCCCGATATCCCCCAGCACCCACAGTGCCACATAATGCCCTCCCATTGCCCTCCAGTACCCACCAGTCGTCTCCATTGCCCCCCAGTCCCCCCCAGTGCCATGCAATGCCCTCTGGTATCCCCCAGTGCCACACAATGCCCTTCCAGCCCCCCCCCCAGTGCCATTCAGTGCCCCTCCAGTGCCCGCCAGTCGCCCCCAGTGCCATGCAGAGCCCCCCATTGCCCCCCAGTCGCCCCCAGTGCCATGCAATGCCCCCCATTGCCCCCCAGTCCCCCCCAGTGCCATGCAATGCCCCTCATTGCCCCCATTGCCCCCCAGTCTCCCCCAGTGCCATGCAGTGCTCCCCATTGTCCCCCAGTCCCCCAGTGTCATGCAATGCCCCCATTGCCCCCATTGCCCCCCAGTGCCATGCAATGCCCCCCATTGCCCCCATTGCCCCCCAGTCGCCCCCAGTGCCATGCAATGCCCCCCATTGTCCCCCAGTCCCCCCCAGTGCCATGCAATGCCCTCCAATGCCCCCCATTGCCCCCCAGTCCCCCCCAGTGCCATGCAATGCCCCCAGTGCCCCCATTGCCCCCCAGTCCCCCCAGTGCCATGCAATGCCCTCCAATGACCCCCATTGCCCCCCAGTCCCCCCCAGTGCCATGCAATGCCCCTCATTGCCCCCATTGCCCCCAGTGCCCCCCAATGCCCCCATTGCCCCCCAGTCCCCCCCAGTGCCATGCAATGCCCCTCATTGCCCCCATTGCCCCAAGTCCCCCCCCCAGTGCCATGCAACGCCCCCCAATGCCCCCATTGCCCCCCAGTCCCCCCCCAGTGCCATGCAATGCCCCTCATTGCCTCCATTGCCCCCAGTGCCCCCCAATGCCCCCATTGCCCCCAGTCCCCCCCAGTGCCATGCAATGACCCGCATTGCCCCCCAGTCCCCCCCAGTGCCCCCTAGTGCCCCCAATGCCCCCATTGCCCCTGTTGCCCCCCATTGCCCCACACACCTGTGTAGTGCCCCATGCCGGCGTACGCCTGCTGCAGGGGGTCTCCGGGGGCCGCGGGGCTCTGGGCTGGGGGCAGAGGAGCCGTTAAGGGGGGGTTGGGGGGGTCGGGAGGGGGGAGGGGTCGGGGGGGGGGGGGGGCTGCGGGCACCTGGGAAGGGGGGGACCCCCCCCGCGAACACGGCCTCGGGCGCCGGGGGCCCCGCGGGCTGCGCCGGTACCGGGCTGTAGCCGTTGACGCTGAGCGGGGCCGCGATGGCGGGGACCGGGGTGGCGGCCATGGCCGGGGGCGTGCTGGTACCTGCGGGCACGGCGCGGCCTGACCCCATCATCCTCCCGCGTGTCCCAGCCCCGGTGGCACCGTGACCTGGTCCCAGTGCCCCCATCCCAGTGCCCCCATCCCTGGTGCTGCTGTGCCCTGTTCCCATTGCCCCCATCCCATTGCACCCATCCCTGGTGCCACCGTGACCTGTTCCCATTGCCCCCATCCCATTGCCCCCGTCCCTGGTGCCACCGTGACCTATTCCCATTGCCCCCATCTCCGGTGCCACCGTGACCTGGTCCCAGTGCCCCCATCCCATTGCCCCCATCCCCGGTGCCGCCGTGACCTGGTCCCAGTGCCCCCATCCCATTGCCCCCATCCCTGGTGCTGCTGTGCCCTGTTCCCAGTGCCCCCATCCCCGGTGCCACCGTGACCTGGTCCCAGTGCCCCCATCCCTGGTGCTGCTGTGCCCTGTTTCCATTGCCCCCATCCCATTGCCCCCATCTCCGGTGTCACCGTGACCTGTTCCAAGTGCCCCCATCCCAGTGCCCCCATCCCCGGTGCCACCATGACCTGTACCCAGTGCCCCCATCCCATTGCCCCCATCCCATTGCACCCATCCCTGGTGCTGCTGTGCCCTGTTCCCAGTGCCCTCATCCCAGTGCCCCCATCCCATTGCACCCATCCCTGGTGCCACAGTGACCTGTTCCCATTGCCCCCATCCCATTGCCCCCATCTCTGGCGCCACTGTGACCTGTACCCAGTGCCCCCATCCCAGTGTCCCCATCCCATTGTCCCCGTCCCTGGTGCCACCGTGACCTGTACCCATTGCCCCCATCCCATTGCCCCCGTCCCTGGTGCCGCCGTGACCTGTTCCCATTGCCCCCATCCCATTGCCCCCATCTCTGGTGCTGCTGTGCCCTGTTCCCAGTGCCCCCATCCCAGTGCCCCCATCCCATTGCCCCCATCCCTGGTGCTGCTGTGCCCTGTTCCCAGTGCCCCCATCCCAGTGCCCCCATCCCATTGCCCCCATCCCTGGTGCTGCTGTGCCCTGTTCCCATTGCCCCCATCCCAGTGCCCCCATCCCCGGTGCCACCGTGACCTGTTCCCAGTGCCCCCATCCCATTGCCCCCATGCCCGGTGCCGCCGTGACCTGTTCCCATTGCCCCCATCCCAGTGCCCCCATCCCCGGTGCCACCGTGACCTGTTCCCAGTGCCCCCATCCCAGTGCCCCCATCCCTGGTGCTGCTGTGCCCTGTTTCCATTGCCCCCATCCCATTGCCCCATTCCCTGGTGCCACCGTGACCTGTTCCCAGTGCCCCCATCCCAGTGCCCCCATCCTTGGTGCCACTGTGACCTGTTCCCATTGCCCCCATCCCATTGCCCCCATCCCTGGTGCTGCTGTGCCCTGTTCCCATTGCCCCCATCCCCGGTGCCACCGTGACCTGTTCCCATTGCCCCCATCTCCGGTGCCACCGTGACCTGTTCCCATTGCCCCCATCCCATTGCCCCCATCCCTGGTGCCACCGTGACCTGTTCCCATTGCCCCCATCCCATTGCCCCCATCCCTGGTGCTGCTGTGCCCTGTTCCCATTGCCCCCATCCCAGTGCCCCCATCCCAGTGAACCCATCCCTGGTGCCGCCGTGACCTGTACCCAGTGCCCCCATCCCCAGTGACTCATCCCCAGTGCCCCCATCCCTGGTCCCCCCCATCCCTGGTGCTGCTGCACCCTGTTCCCACTGCCCCCACCCCTGGTGCTGCTGCGCCCTGTACCCAGTGCCCCCATCCCATTGCCCCCATCCCTGGTGCCACCGTCCCCTGTTCCCATTGCCCCCATCCCTGGTGCTGCTGTGCCCTGTTCCCATTGCCCCCATCCCCATTGCCCCCATCCCCAGTGCTGCCGTGCCCTGTTCCCATTGCCCCCATCCCCATTGCCCCCATCCCTGGTGCTGCCGTGCCCTGTTCCCATTGCCCCCATCCCCATTGCCCCCATCCCCGGTGCTGCCGTGCCCTGTTCCCATTGTCCCCATCCCTGGTGCCCCTATCCCTGGTGCTGCTCTGCCCTGTCCCCTGTGCCTCCATCCGTCGTGGCCCCATCCCCAGTGCCACCGTGCCCCCGTGCCCTACAGTGTTCCCCCATCCCTGTCCCCATTGCCCTCATCCCCATCCCTGGTGCCACTCTTATGTCCCCATCTCCAAGTGCCACCCCACCACATTCCCCACCCTTAGACATCCCCAGGGGAGTCCCATGCCCCCATCCCTGGTGTCCCCCGTTCCTGGGACCCCGATGTCCTCATCCCCATCCCTGGTATCCCCCGTTCCTGGGACCCCGATGTCCTCATCCCCATCCCTCCCCTGCCCAGTGCCACCTACCTGAGGAGGGGGGCAGGGGGGTGGCGATGAGCCCGTTGGGGTTGACTGTGCCCATGTGCTGCATCTGGACGGCCATGGTGGCCATGGGGCTGAGGTAGGCCGAGTGGGCAGCCACCAGGGCCGCCTGCTGCTGCATCAGCTGTGGGGACAGCGCCTGGATTGGGGCACCAGCCACCAGGGACCCCCTGGAGCCGTGACCCCCAACCCCAGCATGGGACAGCCCCACGGGTCCGGTGCCCCATATGCAACCATCACCCAACAACCCCATCCAGGGTCGTGGGGTCCATCACCTCCCAGTATCCATCACCCAACAACCCCATCCAGGGCCGTGGGGCCCATCACCTCCCAGTATCCATCACCCAACAACCCCATCCAGGACCGTGGGGTCCATCACATCCCAGTATCCATCACTACAAAACCCATCACCCAATGACCCCATCCAGGACCACGGGGTCCATCACCTCCCAGTATCCATCACTCAACAACTCCGTCCTGGACCACAGGGTCCGTCACCTCCCAGTATCCATCACCCCAACACTCATCACCCAATAACACCATCCAGGACCACAGGGTTCATCACCTCCCAGTATCCAACACCCATCATCCAAGAACCTCATCCTGGACCATGGGGTCCATCACCTCGCAGTATCCATCACCCTAACACCCATCATCCAACAACCCCATCCTGGACCATGGGGTCCATCACCTCCCAGTATCCATCACCCCAACAGCCATCACCGCAACACCCATCATCCAACGACCCCATCCTGGACCATGGAGTCCATCACCTCTCAGTATCCATCACTCCAACACCCATCACCCAACAACCCCATCCTGGACCACAGGGTCCATCACTTCCCAGTATCCATCACTACAACACCCATCACCCAACAACCCCACCCTGGACCACAGGGTCCATCACATCCCAGTATCCATCACTACAACACCCATCACCCAATGACCCCATCCAGGACCACGGGGTCCATCACCTCCCAGTATCCATCATGCAACAACACCGTCCTGGACCACAGGGTCCATCACCTCCCAGTATCCATCACCCAACAGCCCCATCCTGGACCATGGGGTCCATCACCTCCCAGTATCCATCACCCCAACACCCTTCAGCCAACAACACCATCCAGGACCATGGGGTCCATCACCTCCCAGTATCCATCACCCCAACACCCATCACCCAACGACCCCATCCTGGACCATGGGGTCCATCACCTCCCAGTATCCATCACCCTAACACCCATCAACCAATGACCCCATCCTGGACCATGGGGTCCATCACCTCGCAGTACCCATCATTCCAACACCCATCATCCAACGACCCCATCCTGGACCATGGGGTCCATCACCTCCCAGTATCCATCACTACAACACCCATCAACCAATGACCCCATCCTGGACCATGGGGTCCATCACCTCCCAGTATCCATCACTACAACACCCATCAACCAATGACCCCATCCAGGACCATGGGGTCCATCACCTCCCAGTATCCATCATTCCAACATCCATCACCCAACAACCGCATCCTGGACCAGAGGATCCATCACCTCCCGGTATCCATCACTCCAATATTCATCACCCAACAACCCCATCCAGGACCACAGGGTCCATCACCTCCCAGTATCCATCACCCCAACACCCATCACCCAACAACCCCATCCAGGACCACAGGGTCCATCACCTCCCAGTATCCATCACCCCAACACCCATCACCCGGTGTCCATGTCCATGATCAGGGGCTTTATCACCTCCCAGTGCCCACCACCAGACACCCACCACCCCAACGGTCTCACGCTGGACCACGGTGGGTCCAACACCCCCCAATGACCCCATGCCCACCCTACCGCCTGCGTGTAGGCGCTGTAGGCCCCGAACTGGAGGGCGATGGGGCTGAACATGCCCAGCTGGCTGGCGACCTGCTGCATCCGCCGCAGGCCCCGCTCCTTCTCCGTGTCCGCAAACTTCACCACCAGGCTGGAGGAGGCTCCCTGCGAGGGGCCGCGGTGTCAGCCGGTGCCAGCGGGGACCGGGATGGCAGCGGGGTGAGAGTGGGATGGCGATGATGGGAATAATGATGGGGATGATGGTGAGTGGTGAAGGGGATGGCGGTGGGGATGATAATGGTGAAAAGGACGATGACGGAGATGATGGTGGTGAAGGGGACAATGATGGTGAAGGGGATGGTGGTGAAGGGAACGATGGTGTTGAGGGTGAGGATGATGCTGGGGGGGACAGTGATGGGGATGATGGTGGGAACGATGGTGGGGATGATGAAGGTGAAGGGGATGGTGGTGTGGGCAGTGGTGGGGCCACTGCTGGGGATGCGGCTGGGGGGCTGGGTATTGGGTGCTGGGTATTGGGTGCTGGGGTGCTGAATGCTGGGTGTTGGGGTGTTGGGTGCTGGGCATTGGGTGCTGGGTATTGGGTGTTGGGTGCTGGGTATTGAGGTGCTTGGTGTTGGGTATTGGGTGCTGGGTGTTGAGGTGCTGGGTACTGGGTGTTGGGTGCTGGGTATTGGGTGTTGGGGTGCCGGGTGTTGGGTGCTGGGTGCTAGGTATTGAGGTGCTTGGTGTTGGGTATTGGGTGCTGGGTGTTGGGGTGCTGGGTATTGGGTGTTGGGTGCTGGGTTTTGGGTGCTGGTGCTGGGTGTTGGGGTGCTGGATATTGGGTGCTGGGTGCCCGGTGCCCATCTCACCGGCAGGGTGCGGCTCCCGTGCAGCGCGGCGATGGCGGCCTGAGCCTCCGCATGGCTCTGGAACTTGACGAAGGCACAGCCTTGGGGGGGGGGGCGGGGGGTCAGCACCCCAAAAGAACACCCCCCCCCCCGCCATGGGGACCAGGGCATCACCACCCTGAGCCCCCATCACCCCATGGCCCCCCTTGAACCCTCTCCAGCCCCCCCCCCCCCCGGATCCCCTCCTCCACACCCCCCAGGGCCCCCTGAGCCCCCCCCAGCCCTGGGGTGCCCCCCACCTTTGCTGGTGCCATCGGGGCCGCGCAGCACCGTGCACTCGTCGATGGTGCCGAAGGGCTCGAACATCTTGCGCACGTCCTCGTCCGCCTGCTGCTTGCTCAGCATCCCCACGAAGAGCTTGCGGTCCTCTGCGGGGACGGGGGGGGGGGTGGCACAGGGACACCCCCAAACACAAACCCCACGACGGACATCCCCCCCCGCCCTGGGGACACGGGGATGGGCTGGGACGCCAGGGAATGGGGGTGTCTCACCAAGGCCATGGATGGGGACACCCCTTTGGGGACAGACAGACCCTGGGATGGGGACACCTCCGTGGCGATAGAGATGAATGGGGTGGGGGTCACGGAGGGGTGTCCATGGGGAGGTGCTGGGGGGGTGGGGGGTTTGGGGGGGGCGGTACCTCCTCGGCTCTCACTGTCCGCCGGCTTCACCTGGATGGGCCGGTTCATCTGGGGGGGCAGAGTTAGCAGATGGGGGACCCCGCCCCCGGAACCCCAAACCCCCTGCGGGGGGGTCCCCGGGGTCCGGCCGGACACCCCCACAGGCGGGAGGTGCACGGAGCCCCCCCCCCCCCCCGCACCCCAAAGATGCTCCCGTCGCTATGGCAACCCGGGCCCTGCATCCCGTTGCCCAGCAACAGCTGCCGCGGCGACCGCCATGGGGGGGGGCCTGAGGGCCCCAAATGATACGCTAATGAGCACCCGACTCCCCCACCCCCCTCTAATTAGGGGGGGGATGAACCCACCCCCCACCCCCCCCCCAGCCCCGTAACCCCAGGAGACCGGGGGGTTGGGGGGGGCGCAGATGCCCGGTAACCATGGCAACGGCAGAATATGCTCCATGGCAACCGCCCACTCATCCCCAATTTACCCATCCCCGTTGCCCGGCAACGCCGCTGACATCATCAGCGCTCGCTATAAACAATGACGGGGATGGGGGGGGGGGGGGGCCGAAAGGGGGGGAATGGAGATTGGGGGGGGAGGGGAGGGACCCCCCCCACGACCTGCCATGACCTCCCCCCTCCCCCCCCCCCCCGGGATGGAGCCGGGATTTGGGGGTGGGGGGCGGGATGAGGGGGGGTTGACAGGGAGGGTGGATATAGAGGGAATATACGGGGGGGGGAATATGGGGAGAAGGAATAAGGGGTGGAACATGGGGGGGGCGATTTCAGCCCCGCTGACCCCAGGTGGCCCCTTTCCCCCTTCGAAAGCGAAGGTGGCTCCAACCCCCCCCCCCCCCGCTGCAGATGGTGCTGGAAATGCCCCCCCCCGGAGCTGGGGGGGGGGGGCGGCTCATTAATCCCCCTTAATCCCCCCTGGGCCGGGATCAGCCCCGAGCGGGCAGCGGGGACCGTGCACACACACACACACGGGGGGGGGGGGGGGGCACCAGGCACCCAACACCCAAATTACCCCGGGATCCCCCCAGCATCACCCCCCCACCCCGCGGCCTGGGGGTGTAGGGGGGTCGTACTCGGACCTCCCAGCCCCATGCGGTGGGGGGGGAAGCTGTTGGGGCTGCCCCTAATCCCCCCATCGTGTCGTGTGTCCCCCCCCAGCAAATCCCCCCCCCCCCCCGGGATTTACAGCTCCCAAATCCCTGGATTATCCCAGCGAAGCCAAATCTCCCCCCGGAGGCTGGCGGGGCACACACGGCCCAGAGGGGGGGCTTGGATCCCCCCCTGTTCCATGCACAGGAAGCCCCACACTGCCCCATAGCTGGGACACCCCCCCCCCCCCCCATGAGGCCTCTGCCACCCATTCGTTGTGGGGGGGAGCTGACTGTTGGAACCCCCCCCAGCACCCAGCTGCAATGGAGGGTGGGGGGCACCCAGATACCCAGGGTATCCCCCCCCCGGCTTTGTTATCTCAGCTGGCCTGGTGCCCCCTTAGTGCTAGGCCTTGCTTAGCGCCCGCCCCTGTTTGTACCCCCCCCCGGCTGATGTTTGGGGGTGTCCCCCCCTTCAAAGGTGGGGTCCCAGGTGCTCCCCAGGATGGGGAGGCCCTGGGGGGGGGGGGTTGCCACAGGGTAGGGGGGTCCCGGTATCCCAGGGGTATTCCCGGTGTCCTGGGGGGGTTCCCGTGTCCCCACTCACCCCCGGGAGGGTTTTCTGCTCGTGCAGAGCACTCTGCGCCTTCAGGGCCGACTCTCGGGCACAGTAGGTCAGGAAAGCGCATCCTGGGGGGGGGTAGGGGCGATGGAGGTGGTGCGGGACCCCCTCACCGAGGTCCCCCAAAGCATCCACAACCCCCCCGTCCATAGCATCCACAGCACCCATTTGGAGGCCAGACACCCCAAAACCCCATTTCTGCTGCCTGGGTGCCCATCACCCAGCCTCAGGCCTGCGCTGGCCTCGGCAGCCCCACGCCTGTTGTAGGTGCTGGGGTTGGGGGGGGGGGCATCCCCCGGTGGGGAGCACAGAGCCCCCAGCACCCCATGGCTGTGGCACCATCACTGCCACATATCCCCCCCCCCCCCATCACCCGTCACCGCAACCACCCACCCTGCACCGGCACCACTGCTCCCAACACCCCCCAGCACCCACACAACACCCCCAGAGCACCCACGCAACACCCGGCCGCAACCCCTCCGCCCAACACCCGCACGGCTTCTGCTGCCACAACAGCCCCGGCACCCACAGCCACGCGAATGCCACGTACGCCCTGATACACCCGACAGCCCCATACACCCTGACACCGAGCTCAGGTGTTCCCCGGGCCTGCGGCTGTACATGGGGCTGTACCCTGGGCCCGCGGCTGTAGGATGAGCTGAGGGTGATGCTCAGGGCCTCCTGAGCGTGTATGTGGGGCTGTGCTGGGGTAGCGGGGGCTGGATGTGGGGCTGTAGTTGGGCTGTTCCCAATGCTGGGGCTCTTCCTGGTACTGCAGGCTCGATGTGGAGCTGTTCCTGGTGCTGGGGGCTGTTCCGGGCTCTATGTGGGGCTGTTGGTTGAGCTGTTGCAGCTCCCAGCTGCCATATGTGGGGCTGTTCCTAACGCTGGGGGGCCGTTGCCGGTACGGGGAGCTGTTCCCGACGCTGTGTCCGGTACCAGGAGCCGTTCTCGGTACCGAGGGCCGTACGTGAGGCTGTTCCCGGTGCCATTCCCGGGGCCTGTACCCAGCTCTCCATTACCCAGGGCCGTGCCGATGCTCGGCGCCGGTGTTGCCCGTTCCCGGTCCCCGTTCCCGGTTCCCGGTACCTTTGTGCATCCCGGTGTACTTGTCCTTGATGACGGTCAGCTCGTAGATCTTGCCGAACTGCTCGAAGATCGGTTTCAGGTCCTTCTCCTCCAGGTGCCGCGGGATCTGCCCCACGAAGAGTTTGATGGCGTCGGGCTCCTTCATGGGGGCCACCGGGGGGGGGCCGGGCCCCGGGGCGCTCGCTGCGGCTCCCGGGATCGCTCCCGCCGGTGCCCGGTCGCGGCGCACACAAAGGGACGAGGCGGCCCCGGGGCTCGGCTCGGCGGCGGGGACGGGGCGCGGCGGGGCGGGGGCAGCGCTGCCCGGGGGGCGGGTCCCGGCGGGTCCCGGCGGAGCCTCCCGGGCGGCGGCACCGAGCCCGGGAGCAGGGCAACGGGGCGGGGGGGGGGGGGGGAACAGCGCCCGCCCCGCCGGCACCACCGGGGGATGCTCGGTACCGGCGAGGGGGGGCGGTCAGCGCCCGGCACGGCCCATGGCGGCCCCGGCGGGTCCCGGTCCCGCTCCCGCCGCTTTTCTTCCCCGGTCGGAACAGCACCGGGACCCGTTACCGGGAAACGGAACCGGCCACGGGGAGCTGCGGATCGAGCACCGGGATCAGCTACAGAGAACGGACCCCAGCGACCGGGACCCGCTGCTGGGCACCGGGAACGGGCACCGGCACCGCCTCGCCCCGGGGCTCGGTTGGGGCTGGGTGGAGGTTGGGGGGGGGGGGGTGCGTGCGCGGAGCTGCGCGTGCGTGCTCGTGCCCGCCGTGCGCGCACACGCGTGTAGGGGGCGTGGCCTGGCGTGACCCCGCCCACGGCGCTGTCCTCGGTGCTGAGCGCAAACCCTCGCGGTTCCCCCCCCCCCCCCCCGGGTCCTCCCGTTGCCATAGCGACGGGCCGCTCCGCCAAGATGGCGCCGCCGTTGCCCCCGCCGCCGCGGCCGCACCAGGTACGGGAGGGGGCTGAGGGGGGGAGCGGAGGGGATCCGGGGGGTCCCGTCCGGGGCACCCCCTTCCTGACCGCCTCCCCCCCGCAGCCCTCGCTCCGCCTGAGCGCGGAGCGGTACCTGCGGGCACACCCGGCTGTGGCGCTGCTGCTGAGGGGCTTCCTCAGGTGAGACACGGCCCCGATCCCCCCCCCCCCCCCAACCATGAACTGCACCAGAACACCGGGATCAGCGTGGAAAAATCCCAATCGTTACCCGATAAAAGCGCTTTCCATGTGAGAAACACCACCAAAACGGACCCTTTTCACCCCAAAACCCACTGTGACACCCCCCCCCACCACCTTTCCCCTGCAGGGAGCTGCTGCTCCAGCGGCCGGATGATGTCCTGGGGTTTGCTGCAGGTGAGGGGGGCACAGGGGGTCCCCGGGAACCCCCATGGGCTGAGGGGGACCCCACAGTGTTGGAAAGCAGCGAGGGGGTCCCCACAGTGGTGGGATGGTCCCCATGGGGCAAGAGGGGTGCCCCACAATAGTGGGGAGCAGTAGAAGGGGTCCCCATGGGATAAGGGGCCACTCACCCCCTGCCCCCCCCCTCAGTGTATTTCACGCATCCGGAGCTGCCAGGACGGATCCAGGAGGAGCTGGGGAGGGCCCGGGGGGCAGCACCCTGAGCCCCCCCCACCCCGGCTCAGAGCTGTTCCTCCCTGCGTGCTGCCAGTCGTGCCTGGTGCTGTGCCAGCCAGTGCTTGTAGCGCTTGGTCTTGGGCCGCAGGAACTGCACCACCGACATCGGCACCCGCACCGTGTCCAGCCCGTTCACCTGCGGCACCGCAACGGGACTGGGGTCACGGCACAGGCACCGCCGGGAGCGGGGACCACCGGCTGTGCCCCCACTCCCATTTGCACTCCCTTCTCCTCCCCTTTCCTGTGACCATGGGAGCTCCATCCCAAAAGCACAGCGGGGGCCGGTTGGTGGGAAGCAGGAGGGAAGCACCGGGGATGAGCAGGACTGAAGTGGGATGGAAGGGGATTGGAACCAGGCTGCCCTCGCCCTTCCCTTCCCCACACCCAGAAGTGAAGCTGGAGACTGGACCCTGGCACCTGGCAGTGATGACCTGGATTTGGAGCCATTGGGGTAATTCAGAGCAGTCTCTGCTTTCTGGGGGGAGCAGGAAAGATGGAAGACAAATGGCACCATGCAGGAGGCGTGTTTCCATGTAGGGTGTGGGGATTGGGTTGTCTTCTCTGGTTTTGGGGTGTTTTTAACACAGTCATTCTCTTCCTCACACCTGAGGCTCTGGGCTCCTTGGATTCAGGTGGGAGCACTGGCATGGGGAGGGGTTCTGGGATGCTGAGGGGCCCAAAAGGGGGGTGTGGGGCTGAGCTGGGAACAGGATGGGGGGGACACATAGATTGGACCAGCTCACCGTCACGTCACACCAGTACTCGCCCCACCGGGTGATGGGCTCCTCCGGCAGCTTCAGCGCATGGGGTGGCACGAAAACCCGCAGCTGAGGAGGGAGAGGAGACTCTGGGGAGCAGCCGGAGCGTGGGGGAACCCTTCCCGGACCCCACAACCCACTCACCCCGGGAGCTGCCAGCATGGAGGCAGCTCAGGACAGGGATGCCAAGAAGCACTCACGTTTTTGAGGAAGTGCCGAGCCACGATCTCGTTGTTGAGCTCCCACTTGACATTGTTCTTCATGCCCACCTCGAGGCGGCAGCTCTTGAGGAACTTGATGGTCTGTCAGAGCAGAGGGAAGGGGTCGTGGGGCAGGAGGAAGAGGTCGGGGGGCAGGAGCAAGGGGTCGGGGGGCAGGAGCAAGGGGTCGTGGGGCAGGAGCAAGGGGTCGTGGGGCAGGAGCAAGGGGTCGTGGGGCAGGAGCAAGGGGTCGTGGGGCAGGAGCAAGGGGTCGTGGGGCAGGAGCAAGGGGTCGTGGGGCAGGAGCAAGGGGTCGTGGGGCAGGAGCAAGGGGTCGTGGGGCAGGAGCAAGGGGTCGTGGGGCAGGAGCAAGGGGTCGGGGGGCAGGAGCAAGGGGTCGGGGGGCAGGAGCAAGGGGTCGGGGGGCAGGAGCAAGGGGTCGGGGGGCAGGAGCAAGGGGTCGGGGGGCAGGAGCAAGGGCTCAGAGCAGCCGGTGCTGCTGCACTCACCCTCTCCCCGCTCTGGGTTTGCTGCACTTCCATCTTCCCTTCCTGGTGCAGCTGCGAGGGGAAAGGGAGGACTGAGGATGACGCCGGCACGGACCCGGTTCTCCCAGCACCGTGAAGCCTCCCGCCAGGTCCCGGCGCCACCGAACCTTCTCCTCCTCAAACATCTTCCTGTTCTCCGGCGACGCGTACACGGCCAGTCCCTGCGGCAGCAGCTTGTTCCGACCCACGTGCTTCTTCACGCTGACCAGGTCCCCCCGGCTGCCCAGGCCTGCAGGACAGGGGGTGGGATGGAGCGGGGCAGCCCCCCCCCCCCCCCAACCCCTCGGGTCCACGTAAACGGAGTTTACAATAAAACACCCGAGTCAAAAGGCCCCAAAACCGCCCCAAACCACGGCGCATCCCAAGGACGAACCCCGCCGCCACGGCACGGTGCGAACGGGGCCTCCAGGAGAACGGGCTCAAGGGGGTCGGGCCGTACCCTCCACTGCGCGGGTGAGGATGAGCTCCAGCTCGCCCTTGGGCAGGTGCTTGGTGTCCTCCACCAGCCGGTACACGCGGTGCCGCCGCAGGTTCGCGCGGGGCGGCCTCCCCTCCTTGCTCAGCGGGACCTGCCACCAGCGCTCCACCACCACCGTGCCCTGCACGGGGCGAGCCGTGAGCACTGCGGCTGCGGGGCCCGCTCCCCCCTCCGGCTCCCGGTGCCGCACTCACCCGGCCGTGGCTCAGGCTCAGGGCCCGGCTCGCCGCCCGCGCCAAGAGCCCGCAGGCTCCCGCCGCTCCCGGTGCCAACATGGCTGCGCCCGTCCCGCTCCCGGCGCAGCCGAAAGACCCCGCGGGGGTTGCGCGCCTGCGCAGCGGTCGCCGCCGCTGCTCAAGGACCCCACCGAGGGTGCCCGGTGTGCGCCTGATCCCGGTGCGCGCCTGATCCCGGTGCGCCCACCCAACCCCCCCCGGTACCGGTTGAACCCCGCGCAGTGCCCAGAGGAGGCGGCCGGGTGCTGCAAAACATTCCGGTTTATTGAACGGGTGGTGATGCTTCCCCCCCGCGCCAAGAACCGTCCAACAGGGACCAGGGGGAACGGGACCGGTAACGGCTGTGCCAGCACAGCGGCACCGGGAGCTCTCAGCGTCACGCTGGCATCCCCTGCGCAGGGCAGGGGGGGACAGGAGCAGGTTTGGGCTCACCGGGCTCCGCAGCTCCGCTGGCGCTCACCAGTGGCACCGGGGCTTCCTGCTGTGCCTCCTCCTCCTCACCATGGCAGAGCTGGGGCAAGGCATGGCCCAACCGCACCAGTTCGGTGCCCACATCCAGGCTCTGCACCGAGAGAAGCGGTGGCTCAGGGCGGGCTGGGGGGGGGGCCGGGAGGAGCAGGACAGGGCCTGGGGCTCACCACACCGCCGTGCATGGCGAAGAGCTGGACACGGGGCCGCGGGCACGGCGCTGTTGGGCCGTAGCTGGCGATGCGGGCGAGCAGCGGCTCCCACATGGCGCAGTGCGAGAGCTCTGCGAAGGCGTCGAGTGCCGCTGGCTCCCAATCGGCACCTGCAGGCAGGCGAGGCCCCACGGCTCAGCACCGGGACACACCGGGCCCCCCTGTACCCTGATCCCCACTCACCAGCGGGCACAACACCGGCCAGGCTGCACTCCACAGCCTGGAAGGGCAGGCTCAGGAAGTCGCTCCTGGCAAGAGGGAAACGCTGCATGAAGGTGGCACGTGGCAACCACAGCGCCAGAGCCGGCACCGGCACACAGCACTCACCGCAGGGCGCACAGCGCCTGGCGTGGGGCCTCACCGCTGTCCCCAAAGTCGGCGTAGTGCAGGCCCAGGTTGCCGTTGTCCCGCGGGCCCAGCACGCGTGCGCGGTACCAGTTGCCGTCAGCGGCGAAGGGAGCGGCCACGATGTCACCAGGCTGCACGTCAGAGAGCAGCGCCTGTGGGGACACAGGAACGGTGGCAGGACACGGGGGCAGCGATGGGAGGTGTGGAGGGACAAGGCGTGGGGCTCACCGTGGTGCTGTGGTGCTGGTAGTACTGGCGCATCTCGGCCATCAGCTTGTCCAGCTGCAGACTGCGCTGCCCCACCAGCTGCATCCAGAACCGGTCGGGGCTTTCGGCAGCTGAGACGTAAACCTCAAGGTGCTCATCGGCATCAAAGGCAAAGTCAGGGCTGGGAACTGCAGAAGCGGTGCAAGGGAGCACCCTGGGGGGTGACCCCGGCAGCAGCACATGGGGACGAACCCCATTGGCATAATTCATGCTTCTCTTACCCTCAAATTTGGGCATGGGGACACTGGGCTCCTCCAGCTCCTCACTTTCAGCCTCCTGCTCCACCACCTCCTCAGAGGACATCAAGCTGAGCAACTCTTCACCCCAGGGCAAGCCCTCGTGCTCCTCCTTGTGCTCCGGTGCCCCATTGGGCAGCGGCTCCGGCTCCCGGCGGCTGCCCAGTGGTGCCTTGCGGTGGCACCGCGCCACCGCCGCCTGCGCCAGCTCTGTCCGGAGCACATTGTCTTCCATCAGCTTCTCCAGGATGAGTTTCTTATGGGCAAAGAGGAGAGGTTGGCGTTCAGGGAGGGTGGAGTTCGGTGCTGCCTGACCCCTCCGTGCTCCTGCTCACCTTAGCGGCCTCCACCTCCTTCCTCGTCCCCGAGAGCTGGATGCCCCTCATGGGGCAGAGGCTGGCGCTGGCCTCGCTCTCACACAGCACCCGCGCCCCCGAGCTGCGGCAGATGCCCCGCACTGTCTCCCCTCCGCGTCCTGCAGGACACAGAGCCCCGGGGACGCTGAAGCAGACGGGGCTCAACACAGGAGCCAATGCTCCCGACGGCACTGAGAGCACGGGGGGCAGCAGTACCGATAATCCTGCCGACGGCTCTCCGCGGCACGCAAAGCCGCTCCGCCACCGGCGCACTCTCTGCCACGATCTGGTGCACGGCGGCTTTCACCTGGCACACTTGGACCGGCGAGCCCGAGATGAGCAGCGCCGCCTCCTCGCCTTCCTCCTCTCCCTCCACTTCGATGCGAGCTCCCGTCTCTTGCCGCAGCTGTGGGGTGTGTGTGTGTCCGTCCCCAACCCCGGCTGCCATTCACTGGGGCTCGCAGTGAGCTGGGGCTGCCCCGGCTGCCCCCGGCACCACGCACCTTCCGGATGGTGGCTCCCTTCCGGCCGATGATGGCCTTGAGGGCGGTGCGGGGCACCCGCATCTCCACTTCCAGCTCCTCGTCCCCCACGAAGGTCTCACGCTGCTCTGCGGGTACCAACGGCACAAGGGAAGGTGAAGCAGCTCCCCCAGAGCAGCTCTGAGCCTCCCCACGTGCTGCGGCACCCACCTCGGCTCTCCCGGTACCGGCGGTACAGGATGTAGAGCACGGCGGTGCCGGCCGGGAGCCCCAGCAGCACAGCGACCTTCTGCAGTGGCTGCAGGCTGCTCCAGTAGCCCCGCGCCGTCGCCATCCCCCTGCGGGAGCAGAGGCTCTGCTGGGCCGCAGCCGGGGCAGCTCCCACCCGGCTCCTGGGGCGGCCTCAGGGCACCT